ATTTCACTGGGCGGCTGGGGGCACAGGGGCAGGAATGGGTCACGGGGGTCCCATTGTACCAGGGTGATAGGAGCCACAGAGCTCGTGGCTCCAGCAGCAGACTAAACCCACCAGGGGGACTGAGGTCCTGCCACTGTCAGTGATGGGGGGAACACATCCCCCCCGGCTGCCAAGTCAGATGGCCACACGGAACATTAACACGGGTTGTAACAGGCGGGCAAGGTGACACTGTTCTGGCAGACGACAGGACACAGCTCTTCCCGATGACCAGCTTCAGGGCACAATGTGGCTGCAGCAACGGCTGACATCGTCATCACATCTCGGGGCAGGCCGGGCGCTAAGCACTTCCCATCCATCACTGCAGCTCCTTCTCCCGCATCTCAGCAGCAGACCCCGTTATCGTTCCCACACTGTGGATGTGCCGGCTGAGGCTCTGGGGGCTGACCCGCAGAAGTGCCACAGACGGGAAGCAGAGGGACAGAGGCTGGGACTGGCTGGGCCTGACTTCTGGGCATGCTTGTCCTCTGCGCTAGAACATGCTTCTCCTCCATGACCTTTCCTGCCTGGAGTAACTAGTCGGCTTGGTCACGACACTGAGTCTCACTACCTGATTCATGAAGCCATTTGACAGCATGTGTTGGCAGCTACTGTGTCAGATGCTGCAGGGGTTTATGCCCAGAGGATGCACCTAGGCACTGGGCGCAGATCAGTGATCAAAAAAAAAAGACAAAATTTCGAAGCACCTGGGTGGCTCAATCAGGTAAGCGTCCGACTCTTGATTCAGGCTCAGGTCATGATCTCAGGGTCCTGAGATTGAGCACTGAGCGTGAAGCCTGCTTAAGATTCTCCCTCTCCCCCTGCCCCTCCCCTCCTGCTTGTGTGCATGCTCTCTCTCTAAAAGAGAGAGAGAGAGAAAAGAAATTCCTGCTCTCCTGGAGCTGATGCTCCAGTGGACAGAGATAGAAACCATGGTGAAGAAGTTACACAGCATGTGAGAGAAAAATGGACTGGTGCGGGGGCTGGAAGAGCTGGGGGAGAGTGTGCACGTGGATTTACCACGTGCCAGCTCTTTGTTTGAGGCTGAGGGTTCAAATGTGAATCATGTGAGGCTCCTGTGGACAAGAAGCTCCAGGGTCATCCAGGGGACACCCAGCATGGGAACCAGTAGTCACCATGCGTGGGAAATGCCACAATGCAGGTAAGAACAGACAACATGGAAACAGAAGTGCCCAAGTGTACGTGTGTTACATCCCCTGCCGGGCGGCTGCTACCACCTGCAGCCACTGCCACCCCAGGGCTCGCCCTGTGCTAGCCCCGACTGCTCGTGCTTCGGCTCCCTGGATCCTTAGAACACCTCCATGGGGAGGAAACTGAGGCTCAGGGACATCAAACTACCTGCCTCGGGGCCCACGGCCCTGTGTCTGAAACCTGACTCATGCCCAATGTCCTGTTCTCCAGCACTTCTGAAGGAACGAACCATTTCTTTTTTTCCATCTGCTGCAGACAGAACACAATTTCTTACATCGATCAGATGCTCAAAACAAAGTGTGTTGAGTGAATGACTGCATTTTAGAGTTGCGTGTTCTGAGCTTTGTTTCCTGTATGTCTCCATTCCTCATCCTCCTCTCCCCAGTCCCGTACACATGGAAGACAGAGAGACATTCAGAGGCGAGCATGCCCAGGGCGCAGATGCGCACGCAGCTCATATTCTGGCTTAAGCACAAGCTGCTTGCCTCCCTGCCTCTTCCCTCTGCCCTACCTGACACAAGCGTGTTTGGAGGACAGTGGGTTCTGGAGCAACATGGACCTTGGCCTCTTCCTCCTCACTCCTCAAGTTATGCCCCCCTCGGGATGGAAGAGCACTGGATCCCTCCTTGCATGCCCAACTCTTGGCCTGGCAAAAGCTCAGGCCTCTGGCCAACCCCAGGCCAGGTGGCCTCAGTGCAATCGTGCATGCCGCAGGAAGCCGTCCAAACTCAAATCCAATTAGCTGCAGCTTCCAAGTCCGTCCGGAATGAAAGGCATGGAAAGGCGTGACCGCTCATCGAAGGCTCCAGGCTTGGCTGTGTGTCTGAGGCTCAGCCCAGCCTCTGAGCGAGCTGAGGAGGAACTCCCCCAAGATGCTCTGTGGGCCCGGAAACGTTCTCCTGGAGCAGGTGGGCCATGGTTTCAGGTTGAACCGGGCTCTGAGTCCAGGGTGTCAGAGGTTTATCTGAAGACTTTCCAAACCTCTTGCGTTGGAAAAATTGCACTTGAAGGCTGCTATGCCCCAGCCATCCAGTGAGACTTCTGGTACCTCTGCCCTCCATCCTGGCCAGAGCCCCCAGAGCCAGCTTCTTCACTTCCACACCCCTGCATTCTCAGCCCTGCACAGAGCCCCTCTGACTTCAAAGGGAAGGACGGAGGGGAGACAGGAGGAGACAGGGGCCAGCCATCAGCAGACAGTATGCCTGTGTGAGCCCCGTACTCGCAGCTGCAACCCCGACAAGAGGGCCACAGCGGGTGCTGATGTGGGGGAAAGAGAAGCTGGAGGGGACCCTTTGAGAACGGGGTCAGGCCTGGCCACGCTCGCACGAAGGTGCAGTTCCAAAAGTGCCCGGAAGCCCTGAACAGGGGCCCTCCACGCAGGAATTGTCTTCCAGAGGTTAGGTCTGAAGAACGTGTGAGAGCCCGCACTACCTGACGTCTGCCCAGCAGCCTCGGACCACCCACGCCCAGGAAAGCTCCACTCCATGTCAGAGAGGAAAATCGGGAGGAGGATACCAGCACCTCCACACCCTGTGAATGCAAGTCTCTCTGGCAGCAACCAGTGCTGTGGGGAAGTGAGTGCTCACACAACCCAGGGTCCTTGGAGAGCGTGGGGCCCAGGATTATGAAGCAGCTTGTCCCTGAACCACACAGCCAGAGAATGGCAGGACCAGGACGGGAGGGAGCGTCTCCTCGTCTGCTCATCGTTTTCTCCACTCTTCCCCAGGGTGAAAGCTGGCTGGGGACAGAGTCTACTGCTCATTCATTCTTACACTCAATAAATATTACTAAAGGCCTGGACCCTTGGTCAAGCCTTTTTTGACAGAAAGTATAGATAAAGGAGGTAGACCAGCAAACCAGCCATTACAAAAGAAGGACTGCAATCACTTATGATCCTAGATGTACAGTCGAGGTACGCACCCTGGGGGGGGGGGGTAGTTTTAAAAGGTCCCAAGGTGATTCTAATGTGCAGCCCAGTGGGATGCCACCTGATCTTCCAATATCTTATTCCCACCATGGAAATGCCTGAGGGACGGGATCCTGGTAAGTGCCGTGCCTAAAAACTCACACGAGGGCCGCTCCCTGTGTTGGAACTGTAGCCCCTCTTCTGATCCTGACTGCCACACTACATCCCCCCACTTCTAATGTCTTCATTAGAACACATTCCTAGAACCTGAATCCAGCTGTTTCCTGGCACCCCAGTGCCACCGAAGCAGCAAACTCAGTCCCGGCTGTCCTTGCACCATGCTGACTCGGGGCATGACCACGGTGACATCCCCACGCAGGTCCCGCAGTGGGTCAGGCTGCTCTCCATCTCAGTAACTCACTCAGTGAACCCACAAATACTTATGGAGCATCAACTCCAAATTGTGGGGTGACTTTGCTCCAAATAAGAGGGTTGAGGTCTTTTAGCATAGATCCAAGTCAACTGGGGTTCCCAAAGGAAACTGGATGAGACTCTTGAGCCAAATGTCCCGATACCCCAAGCCTCATGCATCTGCCTCGCCCCTTCAGCCCACCCATACTTACTGCTCCACCAATCTGGTTAACGTCAACACCACCCCTTCTCTGTCTGCACAGAAACCTCCAGCATCCTTTATGACTTCTTCCTCTGCCTCAGCCCCACATTTCCAAACCAACAGTGCCCACACACACGCTCAGTCCCAGGCAGCTACCTTTTCAACTCCTATGACCTAAATATGTTACACCTCTCCTCGAGCATCCTCCCCCCTTGGCAGGCCATCTTATCCGTCTATTAGGGAGAAGAGGGTTCACTGGGCATTCACCTTCTCACGTAATCACCTCTCCCCACACACATGCTTCTTTTCTTCCTCTTTCTCCCCTCCTCTCTCCCCCAAGGCTCTGATATTCTCAGCACAAGAGTCATTTTCTGCAGGCTGGGACCATGCAGACGCTTCTGACCCCTCGGTGCTGGGCTCATGGTAGGTCTGCAGGGCCTCCTTGCAGAGTGGAGGCAGCAGGGCTGTTCCACCAAAAGCATGTAACTCATGGGATCTATGTAGGGTTGACACACCCGCCCAGCACACCCAGGTCTCTGGGACAGAATTAGGATTTTGCATCCTCAGGGACTCCCAGTGACTGGAGCCAGTCGTCAGGCTACCTGTCTTGTACATCTGTGATCCTATTTCAACAAGAATTCTTCCAAGGTCAGTACTGTTTGCCAGATAAGGAAACTGGATGCCAGAGAGGTGAAAAGCTTGCCTGAGGTCACCCATTCAGGAGGCGAGGGGGCTGCAGTTGAAATCCCAGTGAGAACATTCCAGCTCCCATCCTCCCCACCACCCAGATCCTCTCCACACTGAATGCTTGGTCCCTTCCCAAGGCCATGGGGACACATCTGGGCTTTGTGGTCTCTCAACACTGGCCATGTCACCTGGATGGGGAGAAGGCATCTCCAAGGCTCCTGATTCACATGGACAGACTGTCCCAACCCTCTTGCTTTGTAAACTGAGGCCCAGAAAGACTTGGTGGCTTGTTCTGGGTCCCAGGCAGGTGTCACCAGACCCAGAACCCCTCAAGTGAGTTTTCCTTCCACCGTTTTCCATTGGTGTGAATTTCCCCACCTGGGAGGGAGGTGAGGAATGGAAAACTCCACACCGCATGGCAGAGAAAGAGGAGCTGAGCTTCGCAAGGACTCTCGAGGTCACTCCTGCCTGAAACTCACACGGGTGAGGAGCCCAGGCGTCAGGTGGCCTGGTAATCCCCACGTGACATCCACGGTGGAGCCCAGACACAATGCCAGACCACCAGACAGGTGACTTCCTGCCAGGGGTTCTTTCTACACCTCTTGTACCCTCTTTCCCATCTCTTCTCTCCTAGTGGGGGTTTTAAGGACTAGAATGAGAGACCCAGACTTCATCGTGTATAGTGGCCGGGTGTGGGGCTTATGGACACAGCGAGCTGGTGCAGGACAACAGGGCATGTCCCCATCCTGGGGACGGCCCTACCCACATCCAGCCAACCGCCGCCACAGGGAAGGTCCAGCTGTGGGTGGGTCTCCCGACTGAGCAAGAAAAGCCAGAGCTCTCGGTTTTTAGATAAAATATCCTGTTTTTAAGTGAACAGTGTGTAAAAACTTTAACACATCTATGATCACATCTTCAAATCTCTCGGGTAGGGATATCACTGTGCCCCACGAGGGCAGCTCTGCTGTGACCAACAAGAACAGAAGCAGCCTCTGGCAGAAGTGACAACCGGCATCAGCAGTTCGAAAGGAGACATGTCTGCATAACCTGCCACCCACTTTTAGGTCTGTGGTCGGCGGCGCTATTAGCAGCTGGGCTTCAAAGGGTGAGGAGGACAGCAGGTGGAGGCCTGCACAGTGTCCCTGCTTTCATCCTGTCGTTAATGAGGGTTGGTTTACACAAGCATCAAGTGCTGATAAGGGCACCTGAGGGTCGTCCGTGTAACTGCAGCGGCGAGTAGACAATTTATTGGACAGCCAAGTCCAGCCCATTAGTCATGAACTATTGGAAGACGTTTCGGATGTTGTTTTTAAACCGTCTTTTGAACCCCGGTAGACTTGAACTTCACGTAGGTGGTACCAGGGAGGATGGGGGCGGAGGGCCGCCCGGGAGCCAGCGCGACCACCGCCATCCCGATGTCTGCACGGGGTGGTGGCATGGCACGTGGGGGTCGGGAGACCTGGGGGGCGCATTCGCTTCAGCCTCTGACCGGCTGCACCAACGCGGGGGGCCACGGGCGTCTTCAGCCTTCAGTAACTTCCTCTGTAAGAAGATGCCTCTGGCTAACGTGCCCAACATCCATTTTGCGAGGGACCTTCCTCGTCCCACCCCCGGAAGCCCATGTCCCGGGAAAGCTCAGTCCCAGAGCAGCCTCGTCACTGCCCTGCCAGCCCCGAATCCAACAGCTCTCATGCCCAAGATCGCAGTAAACGTAAAGGTGGTGTGGACGTGTGGGGGAACGTGCCGTTGCCCAACATGCCCATGTTATCCGAGAACCTCACACGGGACGATTCTCTCTGTTGGAAACCTCTGTTGAGCTCGACTTCTCCGGACATCTGGGGTGAGGTGGAAAGACATCTTGAGCCTAAGTTCTCTGTGGGTTCTTTTTTGTGCTCACAGGCTGGGTTTGCCCGCACACGCATCTGTGGAGGGGCTTTGTACGGAGCCTCGGGCCAGAGACAAGGCAGCGGGCCGCCCAGGGGAAGCTCCCGGCCCTCAGGGCTGACCCAGCCTGGCACAGCGCCCACTGGCTTGAATCGCTGTCTACATTTCCCGGGTGCTGTTCTGTGGGAGGTGGGAGAGGGATAAATGCAAGTGACCTAAGGTCTCAGGGACGACTTGAGTTTTATGCGTGCATATGACTCCCTCAGCTCCAGCTAAACGCGGGTTCTGATCCGTGAGCCTTAAGACCCTGCCAGGCACTGGGTGACTGACCCCATAACAGAGACTGGATCCCACGCCCCCCTCTTTGACCCGGTGACAAAGCAAAGTCCTGAAAGGAGTGAACCAGATCCAGGAGCAGACTGAGCGTGCACACTTCACATGGGGTCGTCCACCGGCGACTCTCTCCCGGAGTCGCGCTCAGCCCCCACTGCTCCCTCTCTCGCTCAGGCTACATTCCTGGGAATATTCACCATTTGTTGTTAGCTAATCAGTCAGTGGAACTGTCCAGGTTGGAATCCAACAACGCTCAGGTATGACGACTCCACCCTGCCCGACACCTTCTCTGCCAGAGACCAAGGCCGTAAGTGGATGTCTACTTTCCCTGCTCCCACCTTCTCTGCAGCCCAGCCTCCCCCCTGAATTGTATGTGTTGGCTTCCTTCGCTCCAACCATAAAAACACTAAAATAATCAGAGATATAAACAAGGGTATGCATGCTTTATAAATAAGAAAAACTAGAAGTAGCCTAAACGTCAAGAAAAGGGATTGACTGAATCATTTAACACATTATCTGTTAGATGGAAGAGACGCAGCCATTAGAAACTGTATTTCTGCCTGTGAACAACGGGAAGTCATCACCATTGAAGAGTAATTATAAGGACAAGGTTGCAAAACGCCACAGAGAACAAAACATTGATTTTGTTAAAAAAATATATATATATATATTCATATTCCATAACGGAAAGCTCCAGGAAATGGTGTCAACATCTTAACAGGTTGGTGGCTGGGTATGGAGCTGTGGTGTTCTCTCTTCTGATGTGTTCTTTAGTGGTGTTGTCGACACAGGGCTCTAAAGTCAAGATTTCTGGGTTCAAGTCCCAGCTCTGCTGGTAGCAAGGTTCTGAGCCCATGGGTGCCTCAGTTTCCCCTTCGTAAAAGCGGAAGTGATATGACACCTCCCTCCTAGGGCTAGGGGGTAGGTCTGATAAGGTGCTGTGGCAGAACTGAAGGTCCTGAGAGTTTGGGGTGAGATGGCCACAGGGACCCACCGCGAGGATAAACCTGGCCAGGCTATGACATGGCTCCCCCACCCCACTCAGGTGTACATACATGCACACATGTGTGCACGCATGCACACGCACGCACGCACACACACTTTCCTCCATTCCAAACCTGACTGGACTTCTGATCCTATCCGAGCGCTCCTAGGCCATAGAAGGGCCTTTGCCGCCCTCTGTATTCGCTGTCGCGCCGCGCCCCCCCGCAACCCGGCCGCTGAGGGAACAGGCGGGCAAAGGAGCCACAGGTGAGGAAGCCCCTTCTCTGTGAACCCAGAGGCTCCTGGCGCCCAGCATCCACTCGCTGTGGAAGTCCCCGGCTTGGGGCCTCCACAGGGCAGCATCCTCGGATACGGAAGGGCAGGGCTGACCGCAGGTGGGATCGGGGAAACGCCCCTACTCCGAGTTTTATTCAATGAAGTCCCCTGTTGGGTCCCACCCCATCACATTATACCTGCCCTTATTCAAAAGGAAAAAACAAAACAAAACGGCACGCTTGATCCCGTTCTGGATAGGCACGCACACCGTTTGGGATTTTCTAAATGACAGCACCTGTTAATTGTCTGGTTAGGTATGACCTATTAAACATTTACCGCCCATTTCCTGTACATGTCTGGCGAGGCCAGCAGGAAATTTAGAACAAATTAAGCAGCAGCTGCAGTCCGTCGTGCTTTAATGGCCCCGCCATGATTCTGCGCGGCATTGTAAATATGAGGGGCAGATCTATTAGGGACAGGCGGGTTCCATCAAGAAAGCCTCCGCCTCCCCGTCCTCCTGCCAACCGGGCCCGTAAAGTTAAATTGGCCAGCACGCATCTCTCCCTCCCCGCTTCCCCCCACACCCGTCCATCTGAGGGGAGGCTTTCTCATGTCCACACCCCCTCACCCCTCCCCACCGTTCCCACACGATTTCACATGTGGTCCGAGAGGGGCACTTCCTGCCGTTATAAAAAGCAAAACCGAGACCCCAGCAAAAACAGGCTGTGCGCAGAACACCCAAGTCGACAGTGTGAGAGAGGCTAATCCACTCCATATGACAAACAGCAGTGGCCCAGGGGCAGACCCAGGCCCGAGGAGAGCTCGCCGCAGCCCGTCCCCCACCCCCACTCCCTGCTCAAGTGGACCCTTCAGAACAGGAGAAAAATATTCTTAGGAGCACACCCCTAACTTTAAACTGATTATGTTTGGGTTTAATAGCCTACCATGCATTGTTCTTTCTTCACTTTGAAAATAAACTCTAGGAAGCATTAACGCAAATACAATATAAACACGCTCGTTCCTACATTTTCGCATCTCCTGGGTGTGCTCTGGCTCTCTCCGAAGCCATGGCTTAGCCTGATGTGAGAACCAGATGGATCTTGAAACGGGAAGCTTTGCAATTCTCACCGTGTGAGCAGACAGCTGTCCAGGTGATCTGAGGGAGGAGAGCGCCCCACAACACGACTCGCATAACCGCTTCTACCGCCTCGAAACAGTGAAACCTTCAAGGGCTGCTCTTTCCGGCTGCTCTGCAGAAAAATGCCAAATATTACCTCGGTTATCGAGGGAGGTGTGACCAGAGATTTAGATTTAAAAGAACATATCCTGTGGTAACCATACTTCAGTCAATACTTTTAAATTTCTGGCTCATGTCAGATGCTGGATCCCTGACTCAGTCATTCGGTCCCTGCTGCTAGCCAGCCAGGGGGACGACCCCTTTCCACAGCTGCTCCCCAAGGAAACTGGGCCTGAACATGCTTATCAGTCACCACATCCAAAATAGAACCCTTCTACTTCCTGTTTCCTACTTCCTGCTTCCTACTCCCCAGTTCCATAAACCATTCTTGAGAGGTGCTAAAAATGGAAAGGACAAGATGAAAGAATTAGCCAGAAGATTTATACCAGCCCATAAAAGTCCCCTCAGTGTTCCAGAGACTAAATTGTCAGTTCTACTTTAATTGAACCTTTTACTGAGTGGTTAATCTGAATTTTGTCTATAATTCCATTAAAACCTACTAGGCCAACTGTTTGTGGTTTGGTTGTTCTGGATGACTTGACAAATTAGTCTAGTAAATTTTGGGTGTCTTAAGTACTAAATTAGGTCATTTGTTTAATGAGCCAATCCACTGCCCAGAGTTTGACCCCAACCCACTAGGGTGAGTTCACATGGAGTTCCAAGGCAGAGCCCTCATTTGTCTTATGCTTCCAGAGAAACTGCTCTGGTGAGGGCTGACCATGGAATTCCAACCTTAACATTGATTTGTTAGTGATGATTAGCAAAGTAAATTCCTTTCTTCATTTTCCTTTCTATTCTCCTCTTCCAGTGTTGTCACTGCCGTAATCACCACCATCACCATCCCGTCATCACCATCACCACCATCGTCATCATCACCACCATCACCTCCATCACCACCATCATCCTCATCAACATCACCACCGTTACCTTCATCATCACCATCGTCACCATCACCACCATCCTCATCATCACCATCATCACCATCATCCTCATCAACATCACCATGACCACCATCATCCTCATCCTCATCACCATCACCAGCAACACCCAGTCCCACATGGAGCACTTAATATGTGTCAGCACCCAACTGCTCAGCGCTCTGGGTACCCTACCCAACCCTTACAATGAAATAGTGCCAACATTAGCCTTATTTTCCAAAAGAGAAAATAAATCTTAAAAATGCTCATTTTCCCAAGAGCACATTCAGTCACTCATACTCACACATTCATTCATTAACTCTTTCAACAAGTATTTAGTAAGCATCTACTAGGTACCAGGCAGTGGGGATCCAGAGCTGATTAAACCATAGTTACAACTTCCAAGGGCTTCACCATTCAGTTGAAGAGAGTCATGAATATTAATAAATGTAATGTAATTCTGTAATGTAATTATCATAATTCAGTAGACCAAAGTACACCTGGGGCACAAAGGAATAAGTAACCAACTTTGTCTCTAAAACATTCCCTGAATTATGTATATGAATTCCAGCCTTTTCGACGATATCCATTCACTAACATAATATCCACCCAGAAGGTCGTGTGTATGAACTTGTTACCTTCTGAGAATCAGAAACTCCCTTAGCAGGCTCTTCTGTGTGTGTATAGTACAGAGGGGCTGACATTCATAGCTGTGACTCAGAAGAATGACCACCTTTCCTAACCGCACTGTGAATTAGCCACCACTCCTCTCTGGGAAGGACTGTATGGCTGATCTAGCCATGAGTACCAGAATGGCATGGACAGTGTCATTTTCCTTCACGACCCGCTATGCTAAACACCGAACGGGGGACACCACAGGTTCTGAAGAGATGTTGGTTGACTTGATTAGCTTTGATTTGATTGGGTTTTCTGGAAAATCAGTTCTCTATATAGGTTCTAGGTAGTGACTCTATTAACCAGGGTGGGGCTGCTTGTTTCCAGCCCAAATGGGATGACATGAGCTTGGTGCAGACTCTCCAGTTATGACCATCTTGACTCAAGAAATAATCTTAGGTTTAGATATGCTCAGAACCTTAATTCAGCAAAAGAGAGAATAAGAGCGTTCTTCTCTTATTATTACCTTCTTGAATATCCCCCATGCTTGAGAGCATTTCATTTCCTATCTGACCTGCTCTACACATTTAAGGACCGACCATTCCAACGCTGGCAAGTAGTCAATCCACAACACACCCTTCTGAGCCGTGATATTTGGTTTTGTTATTTTACAAAGGGCTCCTGAGACACTGAGCTGAGAGGAGGGACTTCTGGGGGGCGGTAGCCCAGTCCCCTTCTGGCAGCTCTGGCTGCACATTCGTGTGACAACTGTGACGTGAGTATCTGAGAGGCAGCATCCCGAGTCCACCTGCACCAGCTCCCACCCACATTTCTCTGCCCTGTGTCTCAATAGGCACCGACGAGGGGATTAAGCATTTAGGAAAAACAAGAACCAGTGGGCAATCACCTCATGTACTCAGACTACGGATGATAACAATGCAGATGAAACTGTCCATTTAAGCTTTTCGTATTTGCTGCAAGTACACAAAACCTCAACTCAGACACACACACACGTACGGGAGGGCAGGGATTTGTGCACATGCACACACATTGATGTGGACCTTGGAAATGATACATGAAGGTAGAGACAGTCTCATGAACCAACAGGGGTCCAAAGGAGACTCTAACGTTGTCTAACTTACGATTCCACATCACCTTCCTGCCCCATTCTAGTCTCTACTGATACATCCCTTCTCTGAACTCCCTGGAGTGTGCCAGTCACCCCATCTAGGCTGTAGGTCAGTGGGGGGGGGGGGGTGCTGTGCTTTTCCCTCCATTTTAATTGACATTATAAATACACGGGGAAGTGCACAACCAGTAAGTGTGCAGCCTAAGTATACCCTGGTGTTGCCACCACCCGGATCAAGTACGGAGTATTTCCACTCCCCCAGTGAGCTCTCTGTGAAACCGCCCTCCTTCTGCCTGTCACCCCTGAAATGAGCAGAACCTAGGGGCTCAAAGCACTGGCCCGCTCATTTGGCATCCTTCATGGCTGTGTGATATTCCTTTATCAGATGCCTCACTTCTCCAAACGCTTCCTCCATAAAATGATAGCAGCAATCACGCTATCGACCCTCTCCAGCCAATGGCATTCTTTTGAGGATAAAGTGAGGAAATGCCCACAAAGTGCCTGCTCCACGGTAAATGCTGACGACCACTTAGCTAGGATTAGCATCGTCGCTGTAAGATGCCAGTACGGAAGGTGTTGGGCAGTTTAACGGCTCTCCCACGTGTGGGTGTGGGCACCCTGTTGTCTACTGTCCTCCAGAATTCCTGGTGGTGGGCTTCGCTGAGATGCTTATGGTTGCTAGTAGTTTGCTTATTCTTATCCAGCTGTGTGGGGTAAACTTGGCTCCTCTGCCCCTGGTAGGAGCGCTTGGGAGGACATCACGCCCGGGAGCTCTGGCGTCCTTGCAAAGCCAGAGAGGACTAGAGGCAAACGATGAGAGGGCCCACCTCCCCGGCACCACAGGCTCACTCCTTCTCCGGATTCAAAGGGCTGGGCTGCAAGCTACACAGCAGGATGTCCTCCTTGTGGCCCTTCCCTTTGCTTTTCGGTTTCAGCAGGGGAAGCCCCCTCTCCCGCACTTCTTCCCACCCCTCTGGACTAGCACCACTCTCCACACTCAACCCTGCCCTGGTGCCCTTTGCCACGCAGCCTGTCAGGTTTCGATTAGGCCAGGGGAACACCACAGGAAATGAGTCAAGGAAAGGAAGGCTGTGATGTTTTTTTAATTTCGAATACCAGATTTATTTATTTATTTTTTAAATGGCAGCGTCCCAGCAGTGCCAGGTCGAGGAGGAATGCAAAAAATGTGTAACTCGAAACGTTTGAGGAGCAGCTAGATCCTCCAATTGTTTCTGATAAAAACCCTTTGGAAGCTCTCAGCTGTCCCCTGGGAAGACATCTGCCGTGGGAGGCGGACGCCGGGATCATGTCCAAGGTCGGGGTGGGAAGTGGTCAGGTTCCGACCACCACGGCCAGCCTTCCTTGGGCTCCTCAAACCTCTGTCTACTGGCCTGGCTGCAAGGGAGCTGCACGGACCTGGACCCGTCCCTGACCTTGCTGACCCCCAGACTCCAGAGGGGGTGTCATGACTGTTTAGTGAGGCTCAGTTTCCTCTTTTTGCCAAAAGCATGATTTGAATTGAATATATGGGTCATCTAAACCCTCCTCGCCTCCAATGCCATAAGAACTGCCTGTCAGTAGAAGCTGGCCGGTCAGGATCCCGCCAGAGACACAGAATCAGCAGGAGAGAGATAGTAAGAGATCAATTTCAGGGGATTGGCTTAGTGAAGGCGGGGCCCGCCGGGCGAGTCCAGCATCCGCAGGCCCCTGGCCGGACCTCTCGGGCGTGGGCTGGAGCCGCCGTGCACACGCGGGGCTTCTCCTTCTCCAGGGAAGCGTCAGCTCTGCTCTCGGGGCTTCCAGCTGAATGAGCCAGGGCTGCAGAGACAATCCAGAACCATCTCCCTGCTGAAAGTCACCTGATCGGGGACCGCAGTCCCATCCGTGCAGGACACTGTCCCCACGGCACAGAGGAGTGTTTGATTACAGAGATGGGCTCGGCAGCCTCACCAAGCTGACACACTGTGGCAACCGAGGCACGGTTCAAATCTGGGCAGGCTGGCTCCAGAGTCCACACTGGTACTATTTCATTATTATTATTATTATTAAGTCAATAGAATTTATTTTTAGAACAGCTGTAGGTTTACAGAAAATCCGAAAAAGAAAGTTCAGAGTCCCCACCTGTCCCTCTGTGTCCCTTATGCACAGAGTCCCTGTGACTAACATCTTCTGCTACATTTATTAGAGTCGATGAACCCACACTGATACATTATCATCACTCAAAGTCATAGTTCCCCTTAGGCTTCACTCTCGGCGGTGGACATCTTCTGGGCTTGACAAATGTATAATGATGTGTATTCACCATTACAGCATCACAGAAAGATCTCACTGCCCTGAACATCCTCCGTGCTC